AGGACAATTCGAAAAAACCTCAACTTTCCATGGATAAAGATGTTGCGCGTCAATGACGTATAATAGTGAAAAATCTCGAAACCGTTTCGGCGGAATACATCTAGTAATCATTAGATTTAGATTTAGAATGGGGCCTTTGGGCTATCTGCCTCCACAACGCGACCTTTTCAGATCTATTGTGTTTGCCCTCAAAATCGATTAGAGTTCTTCGGCTAGCCCCGCCTTCTCTATGAGACTACATAGGTTAGCTTTCAGATCTTCTGTGTATCTTTGGGCTTCTGGTTTTTCCTCACCCAGCGTAAGGAACCTTAGTCTTGACAAGCCATCACAGTGGCAAAATATGTGTACTGCTGTTTCCTCTTCTGTCTGACAGAACCTGCACAGCAGTTCTTCAGTCAGACCTATCGTACTCATGTACACTAGTATTCTAGTTGAACTTCGTTTCTGGCTCAGTAGATATTCTGTGAATGTTGGCGATGGTTTTTTAACAAACTCTTTCGCCTGTCTCATACCTGGCGAGTTGTTCCACCATTCTTGAGATTTGGTTTGCATCCATGATTTGATACTAGTCTTTTGTATAGCTTTCGCAATACGACAGAAGGGTTCTGGGTCATTCAGAGCTTTGTTTGCTCCTGCTCGGGCAAGTGAGTCTGCCTCTTCATTGCCCTCGTACCCTGTATGTGCTGGTACCCATGCTAGAGTCAGTCTGTTCTGACTGCCCAGTTCATTTAGGGTTTCTATGCAGTCCCATACTAGTTTTGAGTTGAGTTGCATTGATTTGACTGCTTTGATGCCAGCGTGGCTATCTGAATAGATTGCAATGGTTTTGCCTTTGAACTCTTGCCTTATCAATTCTTTCACGCAATGATGTATTGCAATAACTTCAGCCTGAAACACCGTCGCATAGCACCCAAGCACAGTGAGATTCTCGTCTTTGGCTTGGCCCCATAAATACCAGCTCCTGATCCTTCCTCAGTTTTGGAGTCGTCCGTATAGACAGTAATGTCTGATCTAGCAATCATAATATGCCCTAGAAAAAAAATCCAAAAATGTTTCCAAATGATTGGTATAACTTCGTAAATATTTATTTTTGTAATGGGCCTATGTTTCTCCCTGTAGATCTGGAAACAAAAACGTAATGGGAAGAGTTAGCGAACCATCTCATTATCAAACAATTTTTACACAACATGGAACAAACCGTGCTATAGAATCGGACTATTATTTTCTATAATATTTGATTTCAAAATTGGGTGGAATATTCAAATGAACCACTTCATTTGTCACGCAGTTTATTAAAAACTCGTTCCAAAATGTTCTCGATTTCGAGCTATTGTGCTATTATCGGACACCTATGTGCCAATCAAATTCAATCCAAAATTCCAGGATTTTTGTTGATCATTTAGATAAACCCACTAATATTACACCATTTTTATATCTCGAATTTTTCAGTGTCTCGCTTCGTTTTCGAAAAAATATTACAATATCTACCATACATTTGAACGACTCTGAACTCCATAAGCATGGAAAGTCGTACACTACACTGTTTTACCACTAACCAAACCGATTTTTTGAACGCCTCGACACGTGTTTCGCTAACGTATTATCGTGCCAAAGGGTCCAGTCTTCGATATATGAAAAGTCGTTTTCTGCAATTGTGCCTAGCGGTGGTGAAGTATTTCCAAATTTTCATAGAAGGTGTATCCGAAACACATTTTTCAAATTGATAACTGATGGTAAATTCGAGGATGAATCCAAGCTAGACACATCAAAGTCTAGAGTCAAGAATGTATTTTCAGTTGGTTTATCTGAATAATTGATCTAAACAGCAAATAACTATAGGTAGGCCCCTGGAAAATCTGGACGAAATTTGATTGTTTCTGTAGATAACCGAATAAAACCGACAATGAAACGTAAACATTCAATTGAAACCGGCTGATAAAAGAAACGAGTAATGAAGTCACTTCAATAAACTCAACACCTGTTTCTCGGAAACGATGCATTGTCTTCGTTTTCAGTATTTTGCTAAGCGGAATCTCTACTAGGCTTTTGTCAATTCAATTCTGAAACACTCTATACCGGGTGTCCCAGATCTTTTCATACAGCCAATATCTCAATCATGCTGCTTGGAAAAAAGTTTTAAAAAATTACACTTTGCGTTTTTAGTTGTACAATTCTTTAGTGTTTGTGTTCTCGTTTATTTTTCATAGACTGAACTATTTTAACCATGTCTAGTGGAACGAAATGCAGTATTTGCGGAGTAAAGATTAGACAGGAATCCTCTTTTCATAAGTAAGTTTGAATTTCCAAAATCTTGGGCTTGCAAATAAGTAGGTAGATCTGAAACTGAAAATCATAGAACTGAAGTTAGGATTTAGGAGAAAGCTTTCGATAATAATATCTTATCTCATGTATAGGTAGTACGGTACTAATGATTTGATAAAATCCGAAGCTTTGTAGGTAATGGTAGGGTCAACAAACAAGAGTTTGACAATGGAGCTTCAGCCTCATAATTTTTCTCATACATTATAAATGGAGTTATCAATCATCCAGCAACAAGCATAATATAATGGGAATTTCCTTAAAGTAAACCCAGTTCGAATCAGTAAATGACAAGTAGTGTAGTGTAGTCCTATCACGATAAACAGATTTGAGATCTCTTTCACCACATTGAAAAATAATAGATATACCTACCTAGGCTAACCCTGACCTATATTCAATATTCAATACCAAGATCTGAAGCAATAATGTTGGATTAAACGGTGTGAGTTTCGAGATTCCACCGAACTGAATGAAATCATTAACGCAGTTCATTTCATTATCATCTGCAATAGCTCTCTCCTGTTCCTCAAAGTTACTGACATTATGCTTTGCTATATTTCGATCACATAATAAAAGAATAAATCGAAGTTGACGGTATTATACTGTGATATTATCAACAATTATTGATGATTATTAATATTTTATTATGATCAAATAATTATTTAGGAACCTAACCTAACTTAAAATCTGATCTTCACGTCAGCAGTTTCCATCCTTCACTTTCCGTCCTTATAGATTCAAAAAGTACCTCTCATTTTGGTCCGATTTTTGTTGAGATATCGTATAATCGATGCGCCATATATAGAAATAGTAGAAATATGGTATACATCCACCTAAGACAATACCTTCTACATTTTCTCCAAATGAGTATTCTGTGAATTGGACGTCAGTAAAATCATCAAGTGTGATACATCGTTGAAGTTATGTAAAACATAAATATGACACCAAAAATAAAATTGATGGTTGGATATCGACTGAGAAATTGCAACAACATGCCACTCATATAGGTTAAAAATATTACAATAAATCGCCTCTTTCTTTGAAAAAAATCAGTTTTTTTGGATACAAGAAAAAAATTAAATCGTGGTTGATTGAGAATTCAGAAATTTTGGAAATTTGATTATATATGATAAAATACATAGGCAACATTTCATATTTTTTTTATAGTTATTTTTAGATAATATAAAAATGTATTAAATATTTTAATTGTACTCAATGAGAAAATGAATTTGAGTAAGACAGTGGAAGGAAAAAAAATACATGATCATGGACAAGTTTTCAACTTTTTTGATCATGTTTATATTATATATAAAAAAAAGTATATTATTATTGATATAGTACGCTGATATGTATGTTATTTTAAAAATGAATAAATAAATAAATAATAATTGCACTTCACTAATCAACAAAAATATTTATAGGGTGTAACTTGAAAATAAATGAAGTTGGGGGTGGTTTTTCTGGGGTACTCTGACGGAAGTTGACTTTGACACAATGGCTTCAAAGTCATTTGTTTTTTTTTTATTTTTTTCCCAAGCAGCATAACTGAGATGTTGGCTGCATGAAAAGATCTGGGACACCTGGTATATACCCAAAATACTACAATAATATTAAGTAATCCCCAAATCCTGATATCGGTCAATGAGTTGCCATCCTCAGTATATTCCTGATTCCTAACAGTATCATTCAAGATATTCTCCAGAAACTATGCGGTATTTTGGGTATAGTTTTTGTTTTTGTCTCGAATGTACTAATTGTTGGCGTACTCAATAATTGCATTTTTATTTTTTTATCCATCCAGGAAATAGAAATGGGAATAGTGAAATCCCCGATTTATCATCAGTACCTGGAAGCGAAGAAATGGTTGGGTTGTGGGCTCAATACCACTCCGCTTTAGGATTATCCAAAGGGAAGGCAACGCCACCTACAATAAGAGATAATTGTGTAAGTATGAAGCGGATAGTCAGTATACAGTGTGTCCCACTTACCATGCTCACCATGGGTATCTTTTTAACGGTGAGAGATACGAGGTCGGTTAAATGACACCAAATGTGGAGTTTGTCAAGGCCAACTATAATAAGAAAAAATATTTTGATAAAATCTATTCGTTTTTGTTTTATACGCAAAAAACAGATTTTGATCATTTTCATGTCTCCTCCGTAACTTCTTTATTTATGAAAATATTCTAATAGGAATTTCACATTCTTATGGCAGTTTTTCAAAGTGATTTCGAGAAAAATATGAAATTCATACCAACTCTTCTAGAATTTGAGATATCAGCACCAACTTCAGTTTTTCAAATGTAGGTCATAGCTCACTTATGACTTAGTTACAAATAACTTTTTTTTCTCTTACAGATGATATGTCGCAGTAATAGTTTTGTGTTGATAACAACGGAGTTATCGTCATTTATACAAAAACAAAAAATTATTTGGAAGCCGCCATCTTGAATTTATAAATTTTAACAAAAAAATCATGATCTTCGACCTCAAAAACCCCGACTTACCAATTTTGAATGGAATCGGACCAAATCTTGTCCGCCATCTTGGAGCAGCCATTTTTTTTAATTTCAACAAAAATTCCATAACTCCGATTAATTTGAAATTTGGCAGGTGTTCATAATTTCGGTGACAATACATTATGGAATTTTTGTTGAAATTGAAAAAAATGGCTGCTCCAAGATGGCGGACAAGATTTGGTCCGATTCCATTCAAGTGGTAAGTGGGGGTTTTTGAGGTCGGAGATCATGATTTTTGTGTTAAAATCCATGAATTCAAGATGGCGGCTTCCAAATAATTTCTTGTTTTTGTATAAATGACGATAACTCCGTTGTTATCAACACAAAACTATTACTGCGACATATCATCTGTAAGAGAAAAAAAAAGTTATTTGTAACTAAGTCATAGTGAGCTATGACCTACATCTGAAAAACTAAAGTTGGTGCTGATATCTCAAATTCTAGAAGAGTTGGTATAAATTTCATATTTTTTTCGAAATCTCTTTGAAAAACTGCCATGAGAATGTGAAATTCCTATTCGAATATTTTCAAAAATAAAGAAGTTACGGAGGAGACATGAAAATGATCAAAATCTGTTTTTTGCGTATAAAACAAAAACGAATAGATTTTATCAAAATATTTTTTCACATTATAGTTGGCCTTGAAAAACTCCACATTTGGTGTCATTTAACCGACTTCGTATCTCTCACCGTTAATAAGATACCCATGGTGAGCATGGTAAGTGGGACACACTGTATACCGATTGTCCTTCGATGACATGATAATACTTAAGAAGGTGATTCTTATTGGATCCATTACTTTCGAGATACAGGGAATTTGTCCATGTTGAAAATATGCATAGATTCTTCTTTTGTACAACCAGTATAGCTTTTCGTGCTGGCAAAATTCAGTTCATCATGTGACTGGAATAGTGCAAGAATTTCAGCATGTTATGGTCATGGTTATCCAGTAATCTGAACAGATTTTTATGAATGGAGTACACTGCATTCACATTAAAATTCACAGTCTACTCTCGTTTCTTCGTTTTTTTTTTTTTTTTTTTTTTTTTTTTTTGAAAACAACAGTTCGTCCTATCGAGTTGTTTCAAGTTATTTTCGTACAAAATTGAATGGCCTTTCATAGATTTGAATGATCTGGAAATTCTTGTTCGTTGCCAGTGGCGTAGCTACCAGGATTGCCTGAGGGGGCAGGGCAAATCCCCACGTCATCAAGGTAGAATAGGCGCCGTTTAGTTTTTGCTAGTTTCTTTCTATGAAAATTCCGTTTAACAGCATTTTAGACACCACCTCTTTCCAATGGAAAAATAGACTGCTGAGTTTTCGGAATATCGTGTCTAGAATTAATTGTTTTGAACCTTTCCATTCGGTGTCCCTATAATGGTGGATTTATGCACACCGCTTTTTTATAAATCTGTTGCTCTCATTAACCGTCATTAAATTCATTTTCATTCAAGGACTTGATGCCTTTATGCACTCTCTTTTTTTAACTTTGAACTCTTCTTCATGATCGGAACATAGTCCTCAGCGTACTTAGCCCGATGAAAATATTTGTATTCTAAGCTCCACTGCTCACATAATTAAAATGAGGCTAATTTGTTTATATTGTTCTCAAAGTCTGTTACCATATTATGACTGTTTACTCGTGGTGGTTTGATTACGATGTCGTCTGAAACCGCCGATATCTATTGGAATTCTATGTACAATTATTGAGTTTGCATATTACTCAATTTATTTTCTCAATATTTTAGAGTCCAATCAACGCTGAAACTGGGTCGGCCCACGACGAAACTAGCTCGAGCGGAAACAAAGAGGACGAAGACGATGATGACGACGAAAGTGATGATAAAATCGACACACAATCTCATGACCCTGAACGGCTGAAAGCCTTCAATGTAAGTCAACATCATTTATCTTCGCATTTATGGTAGGTAGTCCGAGACAAGTAATAATTTCTGTCCACATTTCCTTTCGAGGTTCAATTCGGTTTATTGTACAGTTTACAAATCAGAAAATGGCAGGTTGCTGTTTTTATTATTATTGCAGTGTCGGAATCGATGTACATACATACCTCAAACTTCCTGCCAAATGTCTATCTATGCAATGTCCATCAGATGTCCCATTACTTTCATAGACTACAGTTACCGCAGGATGTATTTATCGGCTCAAACACTTATTTGAGTCCAAGTGGCGCCACCTGTATTGAATATCGTGGATGCCTCTAGACTATATGTCTCTAGGAAACATTCCGAAATATCAAAGAAAAAAGCCAAATGCTCAAAGTGGATTGCGATGGTCACAAAGAGAGAGAAACTCGAAGTCATTACCACAATAGTTCATGAAACCAGAGAAGAACAACTACTTTCCAGGCCAAATGTCACGCAGAACATTGGAGTACAATAATTCGTACAAACCAATAAAATCGCAAGTGTTTGCTTCCTAAACGCCGAGCTACGCCTAAGTGGTTCAGGGACGTGTGACTACCTGCACACCGGTTTCGAGCTCTTGGCTCTCATCAGTGCTGGGCTGTCCCAGATAGCATTCTTGACCGCTATCTGGTGCGACCCAGACCCAACGTGAACGCATCTCAGCATTTATACCCCACGAGGCGTTCAAAGTCCACGAAATGAACGCGAACGCCGAACGCCACCTGGCAAGGAAGGAAACACTTGCGATTTTGTTCGTCTATACGAATTATTGCATAGATTTCGGGAGGATGTAATCCAATGTTCTGCGTGGCATATAGCAAGGAAAGTAGTTGTTTTTCTCTCGTTAACTACCATTTTCGTTTATTTTATGAACTAGTGTGGTAATGACTTTGAGTTTATCTCTCTTTGTGATTCCGAAATATATTTCAACCAGGAAAACCTATGGAGGCACGGACGAGGATATATTCCATGAGATGGACTATATTACAGATGACATTCGTAATACAATATCGATATGACATCTGATGAGATGATTCCAAAAGATCATATTTCCCCACGAAAACTCTAGAGGACGAAGAAATGATTTCAATCAGTGATCTTGTTATTTATGTGTACAAGATCATCCAGGCCCACCCCTATAATTACCTTATTTTTTATCGAGAAAAAAAAAAGCAAATGCGGAAGTTGAATGCTGAAATGAAACCTTTCCATAGCCCTTATTACAGGGTGATTCCAGAACACCCTGTTTTTTATATTTTTTTCGAAATCTGTGATTTTTTGTTCCAAATTCGCATTTGCACTTTTCCTTTTCCTGTTATAAGCAAGCCAAGGGCGGGAAGTTTGAATCATCCTTTATTTAATTTTCGATGAATAGGTACGGTCTGCACCTATGATGATTGTGTGCACTTTCAACGAATTATATTTCACTCGTGGCAGTTCATTATCACAGCAAATGAATTGTTCATTCATCACAATCAAATTCTTCAATAACAGCTAGTTAACAATAAAATTTCGTGCGATCTAAGAGATAAAAAACATTACCATGAAGTGTTCGGTTTCTGTCCTCAACCGAACTGTTCATTTCTAATGAATCAACTATCAATGATATAATATGATGCTTACTGTCAGTGTATTTTGCCATCAATTCAATATGATACCAAAAGACCAAATCATCATGTATAAGCATTTTCATTCTTCTTCTCACAAGCAAGTTTCTACACAGTAGATCTTTTTACATTAGAGCCTAGCCATAGCACCACTATACGGGAAATATTGCCACGGTAGCAAGTCAAGAGCGTATAAAATTGTTTTGTAGTTTGTTTTGCCAGAAGCGTGGTGGTCATTAGAGTAGTATTCCTTCCTCCGAACAAGATCTGTGTAAATAGTGAGAAGACTGAAGTCATCAACTTCCACAAGAGAAGGAATGACTCCAAGCTACACAGACCTTAACCGTCAAAGGGGTTGAGGTGACAGACACGAGCCCTGTGAAATACCTGGGGGTTGAACTGGACACTCGTATAACTCTCAGGCCTAACACCAACTATCTCATCCAAAAGACACAGGCAGCAATAAAAAGATGTACCCCTTGTTATCCAGGACCTCTGCACTCTCGTTGGAGAACAAGGTCCTGGTGTACAAGCAGGTCATCAGGCCTGTGATAACATACGCGTGTCCTACCTACTCATAAGAATAGGTTACAGGTGCTGCAGAACAAAGTCCTTCGTATTATCACCAACGGTGATAGATACTCTCGAGTGGCAGATCTCCACGAGAGATGTGGTAATTTGCCTAGAATCAACGAATTCATCCGGAAAATATCAAATAAATTCTACAAATACCACATCGCTGGGAGTGACCTTACCCGGAACATCACCACACTACGCCAACACCATAACATACGCAAAAAACACGGGCTGATATATGCATCAACCGATGTGTTCAGATAACCTGATATAATCTATAGTGGGAATCTCCCCGGATTCTCGGACATACCCGAGACACCGGGGGGATCTAGACGAGACTATTTCCCAAGCAGGAAAATGAAAATGTGCCGTGGACGTGAGAAATCACAGCCAGCCACTGAACTCGGACAGATGTGCTACACAGAAATGTGCAGTACAACTGCCCGAGCAAAACAAGAAGGAGGTTATTACGGGTTTGATCTTTTTTTTTTCCTCCAAAAACGCGAGACTTTCCCCGCACTGATCGCGTCTGAACAGCTCCCCCATCCTCTTGGGTACCTTCAGCGAGGTTACCTATATAAAGGGCCTAGCCCTAGGAGATAGGTATCTGTGACGAACACCTCGCATATCAACTCACATTCCCTCAACTCACACCTGCAGATGTACCAACACCTCTTACAAAATAATGTGTCTGTACCTACTCAAAAAGAACAAATAATAAATGACTTTAATACCTTTCTCCGAACGAAAAGACCAGGGTTCGATCCCTACTCCAGCTAATTTGTTTTTCGAAGTAATTAACCGAAAAAATACTATGGAGGCATTTATTGGTTAGGCCGATAGTGATTCGCTATTTCAATTATGTTTCTTCTCAGGATCGGCCGGAAATTTTCAGTTTCTCGCCCCCCAGCGAACAGCGAGCGAGGCGCAATATTACCTCGCTATGGTGCTATGGCTAGACTCTAGTCTTTTTACTAGCTCTAATGAAAATTGATTGTATTGTTCGTGCTTGCATTTTTTTCTTGTTCCGACTTTCAATGTTTGAGTTGATGCCCGTATCACTGACAGATAACATTGGTTTTGCAAACCATAAATTCGTTTTTTTTTGAGAACAGTTATTAGATTTATGAGTTTTATGTACATTCTTACCTCGAATAAAATCCAAAAAAGGCGTGGAATTTCCTTGGAACGCTTATGCAGATTCTGTCCTACAAACAATGTTTTAATGAAATGCCTGATGTTACCCATTGTTTAAGCTGAGTTCGCTTTTTTTTCAAATGACAATCCGATATCGGAATAATCTATTGATATTCTAATTTCAGATGTTTGTGAGACTATTTGTGGACGAAAATTTAGACCGGATGGTTCCTATTAGCAAACAACCCAAAGAAAAAATACAAGCCATAATTGATTCGTGTACGAGGCAATTTCCCGAATTTGCAGAAAGGGCACGAAAAAGGATCAGGACGTACCTCAAATCTTGTAGAAGAAATAAAAGGGCTAGAGATCCAAATTCAGCTTGGGACGCGGTAAGATATTTCGCATCTTTCTGTTTTTTATGCTTAGTTACAAGGTGAGTTAAGGTGTGTCCACCCTAAGGACTCATCATCCCTTTAAAAAAAAAGTTATTCATCGTAGCAAACCGCTAACAAGATATACCTACGTCGATTTTAATTTAGCGGGGAACACATTTATCTGTAATGGGTCTTTCCAGTTATTCATAGAAAAAATATATCTCGGAGTATATGGCTCTGGAATACCATGAATATGATTTTTTTCTCACCAATTCATCGTATGAAAAATTATTGAAAACGCCAATATGAACAAGCGAATTCAAACGGTCAGACATGACAGCGAAACGTGTGACGTCAGTGCGCGAGCAATTTGGATTGGTGATTTACTCACCTTCTCGCGGGTGCCAATAAAATGCACGATGGACTTGACAGTGTTGCCAATTTGGACAGAATCTATGATATTTCCCGATTTTTTCATTTCAGCAAAAAATACAGATGCTGTTAGATAAATCAACTAATAACTACTTACCTGGAGATTCGTGGTACTGAAAAATTGCCCGACATAATCAGTTAGTTGGTTGATTTCTGTTGGTGGATTATTCAAAATTGTAGGGGAAACATTTTGTATTGAATTACAGTGCAGATATTCATGACATTCAGTTTCAAATCGCTGCCAGTAATGTACTTTCAATTTTAGGTACTCACCTATCATCTGTTCCAACCTATACCTATCTACCATAGGAAAAGAAACAAATTTTAAATCAATCAATACTAAATTGCTTACTTCATTCTATTCCTATTGATTTTAGTGCAAGCATCACTGCCTTCTTGTCAATAATATCAAGAAATAAGAACAGTGAAGTTATGCGGAGTATGAGATATTTTCAACTTGGCAACATTGTGTTGACGCCAGTTGCCTCTTCTACTCTTTGTCTTGTAGACATAGTTGCCAGGTTAGCAATTGAATCTTCCGGAAATGAGTACTTGAGATATAGTAACACTGTTCAATTTGTTGATTATAAAAATTCGTCAACGAAATTTCAACATAATAACTGAAAACAAACTATGGATATATAAAAGGCGTATTACTGTTAGATGCCTGCATCATATTTTATCCTAGTTCTAGTTGATCTTGAAACTAATGGAATACTTCAGAGTTCAGAGTAAATTGAATGTGATCAGCAGTGAATTACCAATCAACTAATCACCTACTACATAGTTATTTCGAATCATTGCATTGCTTGCACCATCTTGAACATAGGATCACTTCAAGGATTTTATAGAGACCTGGCACCAGCGGAATGCTTCCCAGCCGTCAGAACTCCAACCAATCAAATTGTAAGAAGACACTGACATCACAGCTCAGTAGCGTTTCAATTCACAGTCACAGGTATTGAAATAGCATTTTCAATATTAAATGATTCATTTGTTGTTCGATTTTATCGATAAATATGTGACCAAGATAACGTTTTTAACTTCCTTTCATAACATTATAGCGAAAAAGGGTCAAATTTTACGATACTGGAAAGGCCCATTATCAAATCCCAAAGTTTTCGATTTCCAAATGGAACACCCTATATATTTCATTCCATTACTGTTTAGGTTTGAATTTAATGCACTCAGGAAAAATAGATATGTTTTTAATGATATATTATTGACATGAAAATTGATAAGGCTCTATTTAGACGATCCAAAATAAACATGCAATGCATGCAAGAATGTTTTCAAATTAATTATTTCAGAATGGTTCTGACAGTATGTGCACCTACCACAACTCAGATATCTGCTGACTTGAACGCTCCGGGACATCCTGTACCTATTGTTATATGAAAGCTCATAAAATTAAGAGTTTTGAATTATGAAATAACCTATTTAATGTCACCCCGTATATTGAAGAGCTTTTTTTTTCAGTCGAGACCTACACCTGCCCATCTTACCTCGGTACAAGCAGAACAAATTTTAGCATCAGCTTGTGAAAATGAAAGCCATAATGCAAAAAGGATGAGGCTAGGTTTAGAACCTGTTAGTCAACCTATGCCTGTGGTACCAGGTGTTCAAGTAAGTGTATGTACCATTACTATTACTTCGTGTTTCGATCCCTGGCATTACTATTACTATTTTTATCGAATGATAGAAAGTATATTCGTGGCGGCATATCACTTTGAGCGTACGTACGTTCGATGGTAATCTGGTATTGAGATGATATTTAATTGACAGTACGACACCTAGAATGTAATGAAATGAAGAGATTTTCTATTTCGTGTAAAATTTATTATAAAATCGGAAAGCTCTTCGTCTGAAAAGCCATCATCAGTGCTACACCTGCAAGTAAGTAACATTTATGAGGTCTTCGGCCTCGTTTGACAAATTTATTCCATCTCACATCGTAATTTGAATCTTTATACACGACCGGGCGTAAAGTATCACTTTACTGCCCGGTTGTGGAGGCGCGTAAAGTGGCACTTAACCGCCCGCGGACTACTTTATCGCTTGGCGAATAGGTAACTCGTAATAAGCATTTCTGTATCGAGATTTATGTTCTAGTTGTAATGGTTGATTATCTAATACTACAGTTCTGTTGATATTTCTCAGATGCAAAATAATATGATCGAGCACAAAATAATTTATCTGTGATGACATTGACAGCAAATAATAGTCTACTCCCATTTCAAAAAATTTGCATGAGTTACCACGGTAACGTTGATTACATCAATGATATATTCCTCATTGCAGCAATGATGTATTTCTATCGTTCTTGAGAGGTGAAGAGGTATTCACAATGAGATACTATATTACATAACAAGTGGAGAGAGTAACTAAAGTGCGTAATTGCTTTACAACTCGAGAAATGCACTATACTTTTTCTACGACTACACTATACTTCCATCAGGATAGTACAGATATTGTGTTAAGGCACAAAAAATATCGAATACCCCCGTCACTTGAGAATGAAGAAGTACAAATTACAATTATTTTATTTTTTTATTGGTTAAATTGCATAACGGGCCATTTTCCTCAATTTGAACTGAAATAAAGCCGTATTTCATATCATAACAACGTTATTAATAACAAAATAACACATTTGATAACCTTACATAAAATTCAACATTTATAGGTAATGTTTATTTATAAAGTCACTGTGCAATTCTTGAAAGTATGAAATATCTTCCAAAAATAACATGATATTATTCCAGTCCATGAATTTTGTGTACAATATTCATCCCTTACAATAGTAGGAAAAATCAAATATATACCGGTCGTGCATGAAATTGTATGTATTTCGGGCGTAACTTGCTTTTATGGATCTAGGCGTGTTAATAGCCCTATTTTACGCCCTTATTGAAACATAAATAATTTTTACGATAATTTTACTAAACCTCTTGAAACCAGTGACGTGACAATAAATGAATAATCTAATTTTTTCCATGTTTATGATCTGCGCAATAGAGTGACTTGAATTTTTGCTATTGCTTTCAGATATTAATAAAACACTGTAGACCACAAAGTTGTACTTTCAGTTGCATAATTTACAGACAATTAAAAAACTACGAAAAGTATGTAGCATACTTTGCTATTGGCTGTGGTGCCCACCGAGACGCCACTGAACCTAATGATTTCCCTCTAGTTAGGGCTAAATTACCGCCTCATTAGTTCCAATAACCAAATTCAACCAAATAGTTTTGAGGAAATTATGATATTTCATAAATACCTTTTTTTTTAAACTTCACCGCCCTCTATCTCAGAAATAAAGCAACTCCGGAGATATGTTATAGGCACTTTTAACGACCTGATGAATCACCCTCTGGTGTTTCGTTCCATAGTTTGGAAACACCCTGTATATTGACCTATTCAAGTTTCTCAAGAAAATCATTGAGATCTTCAAAAACTATATTGCAGAGTATGGTTATATGCCACGAAATTATTTGTTCCATCATTCAAATGACCGGTTGATTATGTTATCTACCATGAAATGAATAATACCATATTGCATATTTTTACAGCCTACAGACACTACCGCAACAATTAATAGAGGACTGGATTTCTCAAGTAGTAGTACCCCTGTCAAGATGGAGAATGATAATATGGTGCCAAGTGGTTTCCCTGTATCAACTACCCCATGCAGTACCCCAAATTCTGTATCTAAAGTTTTATCGGCTACACCCGAAATGAAAACAACTCCTCTCAAGTGAGTATGCAATGATAGATGTTTGACCTATAATATCCATCATCAGTAGTACAACTGAAGGAGTATGGGCCCAATCTTTCCATATTTTTCCCATGGCAAGGATAAGCGATCGTGCTAAGGCGCTTTCATATAATAGGTAGCTCCACCTAACGGCGATAGCTTGAACACTTCTAAGTTGTTGACTTTGATAGATGTAACCTATAAATGAAACCAAAAATCAAATGTAAACAGAATACTGCTTTGACAGCCTTCCAAAAACCCTTCCAGGTGGCGCGTATTCACTATCGCGAATATCACACTTCAAAATCACATGCGGTGTTGAAATGAGATACTGACATATATTCCATTGACATTTATTGATATATTTGAGAATTTTATAGACATATCTATTTCTTTTCATTGTCCAAGAGTCAACTCATCAAACATCGTTGTATTCAGAGAAAAATCTCAATCAGAAAATAAAAAACATATGGTGCCATTTGAAATAAAATGCTGAAAGTTGCTGATTTGAAATTTTGGAATAATAAGACAACCGATTGAGTTATTTCATTTGCTTTTTTGTTGAATATTCACTTTCAAACTGGAAAAATGTAAAATTCTCAACTTCAGGAGATTTTGTCTTCAAATCCTTATCCTGTGTGGCATATAGCCAGGAAAGTAGTTGTTTTCTGTTGAATAAACCGAGAAAGAATTGATATTTTCATAACATAGAGAATGCTAATTCTCAATGTATTTCTTTATATAGGGTGAACCTGAAAGTGAGGTATTCTTTTTAACAGGATACATATCTCACCAAAATAAGTTGTTTGGCAAGAATTTGCTGATATAAAATATTTAAGATAATGAAGGTAGGTACAGGTATTTGAAGGTTCAAAGAAGACTCCAAGTATGAAACATTTTGTTTTCATTTTCACAAAACAACACAAACAAATTCGTTATTAGTCCAGCATTAGATACCCTACAGTTGCATTATTTCATCAGATAAATTAATAAATACCTATCTTCACATTTTCAACCTATTAATTTTTGTTTTAATGTGATTTTATTATCTTATTTTCACTAATGAATGTTAGATTAACAAGAATTTTTAATGTACAAAACCTTGAAATGCCTCTACCTCCGATATTTTACATAAACAATTCTTGGCCAAACAACTTATTTTGGCGAGATATATACCCTTTTAAATAAAAATCTCACTTTCAGATTCACCCCGTATATATATCCATTTTTTCATGTCCATAATTCATCTGAGAATATTCCTTTTCAATAATCATTAATGACCACCGGCATTCCAACTATTTTTTGTAAAAGAAATCTACTGGAATATCTCTGTATTTTGATGTATATCAAGTTGTATTGAAATTACTATGAATTCAAATATGTGATATTCATCAGTTCCTTATAATGTCCAATGAATTTTGGCGTTTTCTTATCAGGAAAAAAATGAAACTTTTGTAGCAAATTTTGATTCAAGTAAACAACTGAACAACCAATATGTTTTCTTTTTGCAGTATTTCGAACACCAGTAGCGTATTAGGCACAACGGGTATGAACGGAATAGGGATCTCGAGCACCACTGGTTCAGCGCCGACTGCGATGTATAGGCCGAATTTCACCCAGGCCTTCCAAAGGACAGGACCGTATCCCTTATTTCCAGGGTCAACGCCATTCGCTTCAGCCGGCCTCCTGACGAACGGTAAGTCATTCTGAAGACAAAAACCCAGGGACAATGGGACATTCAGTTAGTTTCGAGGGCTTTTTCACCTGCATGTGTAGGAAAACTATGGTAGATGTATAAAGTACGCCATCTATATAGTATAGAGTGAGTACATCAAATAGACTGACGACAATAGACCTCCAAATGGCTGCCGTTTCCGGAATGTTAATTGTGGTCAAGTCACTGTATAGCTGAAAGTCGGAAGGGTATCTCCCATGCAGTAATGAATTTGCGCCTTCGAAGTGCCCACCTGATGTTATTTAGATATTTGATATTTTGATTCCATCATCTAAATAATATGAGACTTACGAGTCCCAAAAGACGGATTCTAATAGTTAATATCCAAGGTACTGACGTATAGAGTTTCATGTCTGATTGTTGGATGTTTTGTGTCCAAAGAGCAGAACTGAATGGAGAAAACGAGACAGGTTGATGGATGCAATTCCATATTAGAGGTCTGACCAATCAAAAAGTGTACCAATATTGGCGTCACTTTATTTATAAAGTTCCTCTAACATAGTAGATGTGCAGGGATGCTATTAAAGAAACCTTATAACAAAAATGAAACGGAAGTATTCAAGGAAGTCACATTTTGTTCAAACCACATTCAGTTCAAGCCACATCTTGAAGCCACGTTTCGTTGGGCTCACAATCTCTGGTCGTATCCGAACGATGCGCTGTCGCCACATAAGATTCATAGATCTCGATTTCCGGAAACGGATATTGTAGTCCTAACGAGACATTGTCGCGGTACACCTTCATATCATTCAAGCCACATATCGTTTGAGCCACATCTAGGTCAAGCCACATTTCATTTATGATTTGAGTCGCATCTCCGTCCAGCCACATATTGTTGCAGCCACATATCCTTGGAGCCACAAAAAAAGTGACGGCTCACCATGACATTTTCATCAAATTCAAGATGTGAAAAGAGCCGACTCCTAACGAAGGATTCCCATCACATGATTCTCTATATTTGAATAATAATTATTTTTTGCGAAGCAATTTTGCCGCCGAGATCAATAAACATTTTAATTTTGTCTTCGAGCGCAGGCGCATGCTTCTAGCATGTATAATGTTATTTCTTTGTGACAAATCTGACGGTGAGGCTTCGTAAACATGAGTGTCTCGTTACCTGTGGGTCCAACTGAATATGTGGTTTCAACGAAATGTGGCTCCATCAAGATGTGGCTGCAACGAGACGCACCCAGTAAATGTCTTAGTGAATATTTGTCTCCATGAATATTTTTAGGTCCTGCTGATTTGAGTATGAAACAGAAACCACTGCTCAACCATAAACTGAATTCTGGCGAGATGACTGCAGTGCGACAACTCATTACTGGGTATCGCGAATCAGCTGCATTTTTACTAAGATCTGCTGACGAACTGGAACAGTTGTTGTTACAACAGCAGTAGTGACCCTTTTTGTGTAATAAAATCAATTTTTTTGTCGTGATTCCTCTTTGATTATTCAATAACGAAAAATAGCTGATCTGAGAGTTGGGAAAGTTTCTAGTTGATAAAATATTGTATTAACCTCTGAAAAAATTGGGAAATTATTTTTTTAAATACTAGTCACGCTGATTTTATATGTCTATATAACTATCAAAATAATTGTCTAGTCAATGTGCAATGTGAGAATTTCATATTGAAACAAACTCACTGAAACTATGAGGATATCTTTTTATTTTGTGCAATTCATTGAATTAATTCCAACAAGTTGACTTGTTTTATTGACTATTTTTGATGTGATAACTTGTAATAGAATTAGTCGTTTTTTTATTTAGATATTATCAACTGGACTTTCACTTGTGGCTCTTATTCAATTCTGTGTTTTCGGTGTTATATGTAAATAAGTATCTACCTAAAATATTGTGCATAATACCTAGTTCACATTGCTGCTAATTAGTTAGTCCTTATGAAAGCTGATGTACAAAAATGTTTTTTAAATATGTAAGATATTTATTTATTAAAAAGTGAAATTTAATGATTCTATTACAGGGGATATTTTATTATATTTGATATGATCGTTAAGAATTTATTATAACTCTGAGTACCAAAGAAGAAATATTGTAAATATATTGATATTGATAAATATAACAAAAATTGCTTATGTTTTGATTGTAACATTTTGTTGATGTAAAAAGTTTTGCTAGACAGCCCCCTCCACTTTATTATATCGTTGTGATGAAGATTGTACAGGGTGTTTTTAAGATGTGGTTAGGTTCAAAAATACTAATCATTAAGAATATTGTGAGCACTTATGTTCAAAATGTATTTTAAGAATTTGATGATTTGCTTCATTGGTTTTGTGAATTTTGATTTTTCCAAAATGTTTGTTGGTTTATATTACATGGTTTTGAACTGATAGGAATAACCATATTCGATTCCAGTGTATAATGCAGGAAGATTCTAGAATTTTGTCACAGCACACAAAATTAAAACATTGTCAAATATCAATTTGAATTTTTCAAACTACTTTCACTTGGAATAGATGGACTTTTTCCTGAACGTCACGCCATTCTCATTTAAATGAAAACAACATCTAGGGACTGCATAATTCTGATGTCCTTTTGAAACAAAGTACTACTGATTCAATTTCAATGACCAATACAGTGAATAACTAGAATTACCTATAGATGTACCGTATACAAAACTTTATTATCATAGATTCTTCAAAAAAAGGTATTCAACAAAATGATCATGGTGATTTAATATTCAATTTGTCAAAAATGAAAAACTTACTCTATATGTATATACCTATTCATTTTAATAATTTTCCAATTCTGAGGAATATAAAATCTGATTCCTATATAATTATTTCTTCTCATGTTCGAATTTTTTGCAAATCTTCAAATTTTGTGAAGTGGATATGGTGATGACTTTGATATTCTGAATAATACCTATATGTTGAAAGCACTAAAAAAATGGTCTGTCTGCTATCTTGGAACGTTTCAACAAATGCATAAACTCTCATCAGGAATCAATGTTTTTAAAAATCGATAAAATACAAAGTTTTTCATCGTACATATTTTTGAGGTGAAAGATAACCTGAAATATTCACTTTTCGTAATCCCGCATACTGTTTGTTATTTTGATTTAACGGTATTTAGTTGACAATTGATCAGTTGATGTTAACAGCCCCCGTCCGTTGAGATTGTTTAACGGCCGGCGGCCGTTTTAAAATAATTATGATATTGTAAAGCTTTTCCATGCCAACACGATAAAATTAACGCACTACCTATACTGAATTATTTTTGAAAAAAACTGTATCCACATCAAATGTG